CTTGCCAAAGGATGCGCCTTGTACACCGCGCGGGCTGAAAGTAGCAATTCGAGAAAGTTCAGCCCTTCAATATAGGCTTTGCCGATAAATGCCGCCCCACCAAACTTGAAGTCCATCAGATGCATGTCGTGATGCCACTGAGCTTGTTCGGGTGGAAAGTTGTGCGGTCCGAGGACACAGGAATGAACAATGCATAGTTGGCGTCGAACATCTGCCGTGCGAGGACCTGGAACCACTCGCGGGTGACACCTCCGGCATCGACGCCCTCTTCACCATGGAATCGAATATTGAGCTTGCCGTACTTCATCTCATCACCAGACTTGAAGTAGAGGGACCGGAAGGAGTCATGGAAGACGTGCTCACGTCGAACCGCAAGCTGCAGGGACGCGAAAGCAGACCGCTGCGTGCTAGCACGGCTGTGAACGCTTCGGTTGAAGTAGTTCCGTTTGTTGTCAAACTCCAGCACCTTAGGGTTCTTAACGAGAAGAGCGAATGTACCCGACATGAGCTTGGGGTTGTTTCTGACAAGCTCATTGAGAACTCGGCGGTGGTCTTCGGTGAAGTTGAAGAAGAGTCCAGCCATGCGGGACTCGGGAGGAGGGCTTGAGAGGAGCATCTCCTTCTCGGAGGCTTGCGCCGGGGAGTCTGCTGTGGCTGTGTTCTTGCAGACAACCATAAGGGACTCGATGAGGGGAAGAAGGATAGTTGCGACATTGACCATATTCTCGCGCTTATGGATAGCCCTCAGACACTCACTGAGCTTGTCCCACATGCTGGAGAAAGTGGAGTTGTGGTAGAGAGAGTGCACGAGGTCTTGCTTTTGAATGTTCATCACCACAGAATCAGTATCGGCGTCTGACTTTTTCTTGGGGTCAGTGAACAGATGGTCCAGAGCAGTCAGGACACGAAGAAGCTTGTTCTGCTCTGATGCGCCCGGCGAAAACTTGGACAACGCAACTCCTTGAATCTCGGTGCCCGTCGTAGCCTTCTTGATATGCGGCAATAGCTCATCCAGGTCGAGCACGATGCGTTCGCTTAGAGCTCTGGCCTGGCGAACCAGTTCTTGACCGAAGACTGCCTTGGCCCCCGGAATAGACGAAAGGTTCTTGATGGCAGAGATGGTGTTCTGGAAGGTTTTGGAGCTGCACTCGCGAGCAACGAAGATCTTGACAACCAGAGTAAGGTAATGAGGTGGAATGACGGGGACCTGCATCTGCTTGCCCTTCTTCTGATTGGAATCATCAGCCGTCGCCGATTTGGAGGTCTCCGGCTCGGGCTTTTTGCTTTCCTCTGATTGCTGGGCGTCACCAAAATCTACGGCGGTAGACGTCTCAACGGCTGGCGTCGCATTCGCTGTGGTTACGACTGCACCAATGGTCTGATCATTGGCATCAATTTGGGCCGAAGTACCTTCAGCAGTCGATGTCGTCTCGGCTGCCTCGGCAACCTTCTTGTTCGCGAGCGTCGCTTTTTCGGCAGCCTCTCGCCGTCTGCGCTCGATAGTAGCGAGCGGCACCGTGATCTTATTGAGCAAGTCTGCCAGGTACGCCATGACTACCGAGCTTTCCATGACGAGCTCGCGGTCAAGCAGGCTGAGAAGGGCGTTGATGGCGTACTTATGAGCCTTGTAATCTTTAGCCTTCCCCTTCCTGCTAAGCATGCGTTTTAGTGAGGACCCAACGCTTTCGTGTTCGGTAAGGAAGAGCATGGGAATGTGTGGGTTCTTCGTTGAGAGGTCCTGCAGCAAATCAAGGCACTGATGAACGACCAGTAGAGGCGATATCTCAGAGTTTGTCTGGGCGTGGCCAGAAGTCGTCAGGGATGTCAACGTTCTCTTGAGCCCCTGAGGAGTCTTGGGGTCCGCATCCTTATCCTTCGGCTTCTTTGCTTTGAGAGAAAGCTGGCTGAAGCTCCTCTCCACAGCGTCCATGTCTGTACTGCCTTCTTGGAGGATGAGGAGAACGGTACTGATGACTTCGAGCCTGTTCTGCCTGTTCTCGCAAACATCGGCGAGAACGCTGAAAAGATAATTGCGGATAGATCCGTATTGAGAAATGAACATGAGACGCAGCAGAGTGGCGATTCCAGGCTTGTCGAGCATCTGCACTACCGTCTTGCGTTGGACCTTTGTCTCGGCTTCCTGTCCAGATTCTGTCGGCTGCTGCGCCGGCCTCCGCGCGATACCAGGAGGGCTTCTGGCGTTCCCCGCTCGTTGACTCAGTCGGACTTGGGCAGCCATGTCAGCTGGCAATTGATCCATGATGTCTTCGCCCTGGTCCAACAAGACTTCGTGGCGCAGCTCAGGCGGGAAGGTCAATAAGATGCTTGCAGCATCCATCTCTTGCTCGGCGGCACCACCAGCAGCTTGGCGGCGTTGCTCTTCTCGTTCGCGACGGCGCACCTCTTGGCGTTCCTGCTGCACGATTTCGCTGCGCATCTCTTCCGGCAATGCATCCAGGAACTCTTGGAAGACCTCGGTCTGTTCGCCCGCTGCCGCATCCTCGCGTGCCTGGGAGCGCCTAGAGCTCACGGTCTGCGCGATGACCTCCTCTCTGAATTCCTCGGGGAGTGCGGCCAGATATTCAGGGTCGATGCCAAGTTCCGTGATATCGACCTCCTCGCCTCTGATCGTTGTAACAACACGAGGGACATTGACTGGAGGCACCGTTGCCGACTCAGTAGCGCCATACGATTCAACGCCTTCCATTGCTTGAGGATCCGCGCCAGCTGTGAGCGCGTCGGAATCCGTGGAACCCAGCGCTTCAGCCGTCAGCCGCTGATGTGCCTCGCGCTCCTCGGCTTCCTTTCGCTCGCGCTCAGCCTTCTCCTCAGCCTCCTTGGCTTCCTTAGCCTCTCTTACTCGCCGTTCTTCTTCTTCCCGCTTTTTTCTTTCTTCTTCACGGACACGTCGCCTCTCTTCTTCCTCGGCTTTGACTTTCTTCTCATGCTCGAACGCAGGAGGAATCAGCCTTGACAAGATGAGTTTGAGCAGTCGCTGAGCTTTGTCGATGTAAAGAGATCCTCCAAACACCATTCGGGCCTCTTCTTGATATCTCTCGAAGGTGGAATCCGGAGTGAAAGCAACGGCTTGCTGGGGTTCATGGTAGGTTCCATCTCGTCGGGCATCGCCTCTTGACTCACGGGGGACAACGTGATATTCTCGAAGTTCCCCACGCCCGTTCTGTGTGATTGAGAGCTGGACAGACTGTTGTCCGTGTCGCATGACAGGTAAAGAAGCAACGATATCGTTCAAAATTGCCATGGGGCTGTCCATGAGGCCGCCATGACGGCCAGCGCCGATTCCAAAGGCGTCCGGGGGGAAACGCAGGCCGACCAGACCAGGCACTCCAGGTGGGCGTGGTGAAGGCTCCGCAGTTTGGTTGGTTCGACGCAGCAAGGGGTTGATGCCGTCGTCGGCGTTGCTGGGTGCCGCATTTGTTCGGGGACCACGTGAGAAGTAGCTGCGGAAATCTGGATTCGCGTTAGCATTGTAAGTTGACATGAAAGCCTCAACGTCGTGGAGGAGGACATCGATATGAGGCAGTAGCGTGGCGGGGGACATGCCTCCGAGCGGGTCACGCGGACCACCAGCCAGGATGGCAGGCGGGAATGGACTGCGGTGCCCAGCATGGCGATGTCGATGTCCATGGTGTGCATGTGGGAACGGCTCTACCACAAGGGTATCCCAACCCAGTTGGCTCGGGACGTTAGCTGGGGGGGCTTCATCATCTGGCCTGTGTTAGTTCAAATACATTTCATGCGGAAATGACCTACGAGGGTAGTCCTCATCGTAAATGTACTCGTCTTCTTCCATGTCTCGTCATCGTCATCTGGAGCCAGGTTAGCATATCCCACACGGAGGAGTCGGATCATGACAAACCGTCTTCATCGCCACGATCATCCTCAATGTAGTGTTCGCCAAGCCCCTCCATGTCCTCGGGGTCGAACTCTCCATCGGGGGCCATGACAACAGCACGCGTTAGGTTGTCAAGGATCTCTTCAGGTCCCAGGCCGTGCATATGGGCTTCGTCGAGGTCTTGGACCTCGGCTCCATAGTCGATTTCATCATCATCATCCTCTTCCTCGTCGTCTGACTCACTTTCCCAATCAGAGGCACCGTCGTCGTCGATAGGATTGCCGTCCTCGTCTAGAATCTCTTCAGCGATATCGACGCGATCGTCCATTTCCTCCATGTCCTGGGAGTCCATGTCATCACTCATCTCATCGTCATCGTCCTCCATATCATCGTCGTCATCCATTACAACTTCGACGACTCCAGGGTCCCCATGGAGACCCTCGATCTCACCCATTTCACCGAGCTCTTCGTCGTCATCGTCGCTGATGCCGTTATCTCCATCATCAGAGATCTCTTCTTCCCCATACTCGAGCTCGTCGCCGTACTCGTCGTCATACATCTCTTCATCATCATCGTCATCTGCGAATGAGTTAGCTCCGTGTTTTCCAGTCGCCTTGGCAGAAGATTCCATACCTTCTTCGTCCTCAGACTCGTCATCGCTGCCACGGGGCTCGAGCATGCCCAATGCCGAGTTCCGATAGAGGTCGGGAGTCTCTTCCCTGTCATCGTCTATGTCAGACATGGATGACGAAGATGCGATCTCATCGTCCGCAACGTCAGGAAGCGTCATGGAAGGGATGACGTTGGAGCGACTGAGTTCTTTGGCGGTGTCGGTGAGAACCCGTAGGACCCGGAGCACATGCTTAATGGCACGCTTGACCCCCACGTGATTCAGATCGAGATCGGCAATAGACCAAGTGAGTTTGTCCAAGTACCCCTTTTCGTACATCATGCGGCGGAGCTGCGCCTGCGAGCGAGCCTGCGGAGATCCCATGCCTCTCGTGGCGCCCGGGGGGTCGCGCTCCTTCTCGCCAATGACTTGATTCATTAATTCAGCAAGGCATTGCATTTTGGTGTATCGGGTTTCGAGGGGTTCCTCGGGCGTGGAAGCACGCTCATACGCTTTAAGAATAGTGTCCAACGCAAATTTCCTGACGAAGAGAAGATCCGGATCATCGTCGTACTCGAAGCGCTCACGGTGCTTATCGATGGCCTTTTCGCCTGTTTTGGTCATCAGAGCCACTAGGACTTGCTGAGCCTGGTTCGAGGTCGCCATTTTCTTCTTGGCAACAAGGGTATCAGGATTCTCAAGGCCGCCCTGGCAAAGCAGATCATGAATTAGGTAGTTCAAAACGCTCGAGCGCGGCTTGACTGGAGTATTTGTCTGCAGCGGTGCACTCCGTTTGAAGTCGATAAACTCAACCTTGGCTCTGTTATAGCTTTGCAGAAGCTCCGCGAGACAGTTAAGCAGGAAGCAACGGTATATGAAGATAGGATGCTCATCGGCCTTGAATGAAGGCTTGGACTTCTTGTCTTTGCTGTCCTTGGTCTCCTTAGCATCAGAGCTTGCTCCGGCATCTGCAGTGTTCTCCTTAGCTGCAGGATCAGAGCTCGTCGCGGTGAGTGTAGTCAATGACGTTTTCGAATCCTTGGGCTGGATCGGCTCCTTGTCCTCGACCTCTCGGTAGTTCAATAGCTCGCAGAGTAAAAAGTGGACGACTCCATCGGGGTTCTCAATGATCGGGCGCGATACCGTTGGCTTCGGGGCATCAGTCATCTCCTTGTCGCCTGCTTCAGTAGATTGTTTGATGTCGTGAAGCGACAAATCCTCGGTTGCCTGCACCGTAGGCTCAACGCTCTGATCCTGTGTTATGGTTGCCACAGAAGCTTCGGGCTCCGTCTCCTTGAGAGCAATGTAGTGGGCCCGTGCGGTGCCCTCGCTGACCGGGGACCAGCGGGTCAATCTTGTCATGTCATTCGTGATCTCAACGAAAAGGTCAGGGGCGCGGAGGGCGACGGCAGAGAGGTTTCGAAGATAGGTCGTTACATCGAGGTTGCGTTGGTTTCGTTGGGGGTTGTCGAATAGGTTCCGAACTTCAGCTCGCATAATCTGTTTTGTGGTTTCCTCGTCCTCAACGACGTGTCTTAGGATGATCATGATGCACCCAGCTGTCTTGGTGTCCTTGAGACGGTTCACGCCGGCGCCGGCAAGCTGCTTTGCCATGACAAATAGTCTCTGGAGGTTCTTTTTCTCGCCGACTGTGCGTGCCAAAGACCTCTTGCGAGTGAGAACAACAAGGACACGGAGGACAGAAATTGCGAGAGTGTCCTCTTGGCCCAGCCGTGGCAAGATGTCAAGGATGCGTTCTAGCAGGTCGCTCTGCTCAGCGTCAGACAGGATAGCCTCCGGCTTCTCGATAACGGCTGGTTTGATAACTTCGTTCTCGGAAGTAGGGGCCTTCCATGTGGCCTCAATTGGCTTTTCGTCATGGGCCAGCAGGATTTCAACAATGAGAAGAATGTAAGGAATCCAAGGAGGCAGGTCGTCCTTAGCACGTGTTGGCGAAAGCTTCAAAAACCCGACGTAGGTGGATACGTTGGCTCTCAATGTATCAATGTTACACGTAAGGAAAGCGTTGTCTCGGAGAAGAAGCGCAAATAGGTGAGCGTACGCGGCGATTGTGGAGCCATTGGCGTCGGATTCAACCTCATCGGAGTCGAAGGAAAGAGAGGTGATCGCGCTGGTCAAGGTCTCGCCAACATCCTCACGGATGTCCTGAGGGAAGACCATGGCACTAATCAGCTCAGACACTTCTATAGCTGAATGAGGGTGCGCCCGAACTATGTCCAGTGACCTGGAGATGAGTTCTTTGCGGAACTGTTCCCGATGATCGTCGAGCGCCTTCTTGGCGGTTGCACGAGGATCTGTTGTCGGCTGTGCTGACTCGTTGGCTTGTACGGGCAAATCAGCTCCTCCAGCTTTCTGAGAACCCTCGCCAGCACGGTCGTCATCTTCATCATTCTCTTCGTCGTCGTCATCGTCGTCGTCATCAGATTCCTCAGAAGACGGACCTTCGAGCTCGTCGAGCACAGCGTCACCAAGAAGGTTGTCTAGCTCGGGTGGTGCATCAACAGCCATAGGTTCAGAGCTGGGAGGAGCGCCTTGCTGGCTGGATCGACGTGACGGTTCGGGCGGAGGGGCAAAGTAAGCATCCTGGGTAGGTACAGGGTTTCGTGACCCAGCCGTGCCGGCTGCATGGGCCCGGCAGTACTCGGTGGCGGAGTTTTGATTGCCGTTGGCTCGGTAAACGGCCTCACGCGCCAGGTCGTCGTCGTAGTCTCTAGAGAGGGCAGAGAGCGAGGTCTGGTGTGTGCGCCAGTTGAAAGCGCTAGGAACTCTCTTTAAAACGTCAGACGCCTGGGTACTCGATTGACCGGACTCATCGCTCCCGACAGCCACAATTTTAAGAATATCGATGACCCTGCTCAGAGTTTCTGGCTGCGTCTTCTCCATCAATGCGGAATCCCATATCTCACGCACGACTGGGAAGATGGCCATGCGAGCGTCAAGCACCATTTGATTGGAGAGTGGTGCCTCTGGCCGGGGTCCTGCAGACCGAGGGATAAGCCCGAACTGAGCGGCGGAGTCTGCCATGGTCTTCCCATCGACAACAGTGGCGAACAAATCGAGCGCTCTCTTAAGGCCGAAAGAACATATCTTGGTAGCTGCACTAGGCTCAGTCCCGCTGCTTTGATCGGCTGCTCTATCAGCGAAACGTCGAGCCATGGTCGTCAGAATCTCCAGACCGCCCTGCTCAACAAATGCCAGATACACAGGCATGATGATCTGAGAACCAGATCGGTCACTCGATCTAGGAGTCGCGTCAATCAGCATCTCGCTGAGTGTGTGAAGCATGATGATCCAGTAATGATAGTCTTTGGGCGTTGCAACCTCAACCGCCATCGAAGGCTTCAACTGATCGATTATGGTCGCTGACAGCCCCTTGGCGAGATCGATATGATGCTGTCGCGAAAATGTGTCTCCGCCTCGACGAGGCAGTATTGCCTTGCCGAGTTGCTGGAAGAACGGGAACGACGACGGAACCATGGAATGAAGGACGACTCGCAGGGTTTCGAAGTTTTTGTAGCGGGCCGTGGCTTGTTCTTGCTTGGTAGGCCGCTTAGGCTGTGCAGCCGCAGCGCCCTTACTGTTTGGCAGCGCCTCTGCCCTGAAGTTCCCCAGTAGGTCATCAGGCAAAAACGTCTCGTCATCGTCGCCGGACGGAGACGCCGGCACCGCGGGTCGACCGATGATTGCCAAGGCTTCGTCGATTGCACCGACTTTCTTGGCCCACCAGTGCTGGGGTAGTACGTTGTGTACTGCGCCTTCTTCTGTGAGACCTGCCCGTAGAAGAGGCCCAATGGACTTGATCAACTGCAGGTAGTAATCATAGAAGTTGATGGGATAGAGTGACACCGAAGACGAGGAGCGCGGTGAAGACGGGAAACACTCGTATAGCGTTTTCAGGAAAGACTGGGCATTGAGCAGGGCTCTGACGACCTTGGTTCCTGTGAGCATCTTGTTTCGTGTCGTCGTGTCCCATGAGTTTGCGTCCTCCAGCGTCATCGGTTTTTCAGACAAAACGAAAGGGGCAAAGTACGGTCGGCCGTCGTTGGCAGTCGCAAACGACTGGAGAGAGTCGAGTGCCGCCTGTGCCCGCTTGAGAAGCGCTGGCAATCCCAGGACGGGAGAATGGTCGACGAGCTGGGAGATCACTGAGAAGAGCTTACGAGAGGCGTTGGACTCGTTGAAGTCGTAAGGGAGACTGGGCAATTCGGCAATGTCGAGCAGCAGCTCGATGCCTCCGCGCTGGACGAAATGGGTCTTCATGGTGTTGTTGGAAAGGTAGGTGGTGAGGAAGAGGCCAAGTGCATGGACATAAGGTGTGATGCTATCAAATGCCGTCGCAGCTGGCTTCGAGGCTTCCTTGCTGGACGCTGAACTGCTGTCTTCTTCCTTTGCAGTCACTGCTCCGTCCAGCATGTCAACATCCGCGTCATCGGTGGAGGCCTTTTTCTTGCCTTTGCTATCGTCAGGCGGAGCTGAGAGATGACCGAGAAGATTTTGATCAGCAGTCAAGACATTGCCATTGGCATCGTCAAAGACCAGCTTTGCTCCCCAGCCAGACGTCTCTGCTTTGTCTTTGCCGAGGAATCTGACTCTTGCCACCATGTCAACAACAGCATCCGAGATAGGACTTCTCAAAGCTGGATGGTGCCGGCACAGCTCATCAAAGCTTTCACCCACACTGCTGGCGAGGTGTTGCTCGCCCTCAAGACAATTGACGTGTTTCGGGCTTTCAAACATCTCGAAGTAAGACTCGAACGCGCGTGATGATACGACCATTCTGAGGCCAACATTGTTGAGGGAAATGGAATTGAGGACTTGCGGCACAACGAGCATGGCGTCTGGGCTCGTCAAGATCCCTCTCGCGAGGGGGCGGTCCCTGCCAGCAGCCAGCTCCTCCTCTGGTGGGGGATGAGGCTTGTCGTCAGGCTCAAGGGTAACCTGATCGTTGTTTTCCTGAGGCGCGTCATCCGTTTCACCGGTAGCGTCTTCGCTGCCGCGAGGGGCCGCTGTCTGCTCGGGTACAGGGCTACCGGTGACGGATTCGAGGAAGCTTACGATCATGCGAGACTCCGCAATGGCTGCGAAGCTTGTAGGGTCGTTATTGATAAAGTCGCTGAGAACAGTAACAGAGTTTGTCCACAGAACAGAGCCGAAGTGCGTAGTATGCTGCATGATCTCCCTCAGACTGGCCAATAGATCAGACTTGTCCACGAGGTTCCGCAGGAGGCGGTCCGTGTTGCCTCCGAGACTATAAGAGTTGGTCATCATGTGGTGCATAAACTTCAACAGCCACTTAAGCGTTTGCTGATGGTGGAACGGGATATTGTAGTCGACAACAGAAGAGTGGTACTCAGGTTGCGTACCACGGCCAGCGTCAGCAAGTTGGGTGCCTTCTTTGACAGACGTGACAAGAAGTTCCGAGATGGCGTCCAAGCCATCACCATTGAAGAAGGCGTGGAAAGCGTTCTGGTAGGACCAAATGAGTCCGTCTATGAAACTCAAAATAGTCGCATGATTACGCTGAGCCACATTGGATCGTGTCTTCATGATCTCGACCAGGACATCCATCAGGCCAGCGCTGACCATCTCTGCGCCAACTCTAGTGGACATGGCCAAGTGCTGTGTCAATGAGAAGAGGTCTTTGCGCCACTCGTTGACCTCGGTGGACTGGTTGTACTTGTCGGCCACCTCATCCTCCTTCATGCCCGCGACTGCCTTGCGAATGACGTACAAAAGAATGCCGTGGTTGACGTTGGCATTAAGGGCAGAAAGCACATCTTGATAGCGAGCCTGGAAGTAAGATATAGCTTCCAATAAAGCGAGTGCGACCGATTGGACCCAAAGAGGCACGGGTTTAGATCCAGGGGATGTAGGGTGGATTAATTCGGCCAACTGATAGACGAGCTGGTAGCGTCGAGTTTCGTCGATATCCTGACGCATGACCTTTTCCATAAACACATTCTCCGGGTGGATATATGCCAGGTTCGTGACAGCCAGGAGACGAATGGCTAGAGCCTGCTGGCGAGTCTCAACACTGCCTAGGAGCGCCTTGGCAATTCTGACCCTGTTGAGATATTCGTATCTGGTGTGTGGTGGAGCATCGGCAGGGCAGCGGGCAAGTAGGTCGTAGATAGAAGATGACGCCACCACAGACTGCGGCAGATCAAACACCTTCTGGCTGGATGTGGCATGCTCGCTTACTGGAGCCGGAGAGCGAGACACGGTAGAAGGCGAGGCTTCGTCGCCTGGTACTTGCCGGGCCGACCTCGGGGTTTGTTGAGCAGTACCACCCATCGTAGTACTTCGCCGCAAAGGTGTTGGGGTGCTTGGCAGGTTCGTCCCAGCAGAGGTGCGATCCACGGCACTGGGAAATGGCTGGTCTTTAGTGTCTATGACGGCAGTGTACGAGATCTTGATGTCACCCCAGCCGTTCCATTGACCAGGTTCCGAGTTGACGATGGCATTGAGATCGTTGGCAAACATGGGTGCTGCATTCTTCTGCCCAGCACTTTGGATCTTATCCTTGCCCTTGGCAGCGGAACCGGGTGTGGCAGATGCAGCAGCATCAGATAGGGAGATGAGAGGAGTCTTGACAAAGGGGGATGCTAATAGCTGTACACGCTCGAGGGCAATATTGTAGTGGTTAGCCAGCAGTGCAGTGCTGACATGGCGGGAGTGACTTCCGATACGTTTGACAGAGGCCTGGTATCGTTTGGCCAGCTCGGACCCAACTCCGAGGGTTGCGATGATGACGGACAGGTCTGTAGCATGAAGGAGGTCGTTCAAGTGGTTGCTGCTGGCGTAAATGCTTCTGTTACCGCAATGCTCCAGCAGGACGCGCGTGAACTTGAGGATGGCCTCAATGAGCTGGCGGTCACCCTGCTCGCCATAGCCCTGCTTGCGCAGGCGGTCCATGTCCCATGCCTCCGTGCCATACTCTTCCACTTTGAGGCCTCGATGAAGTAACAACTCGCAGCCTAGATCGCCGGTTTGGGGGCCGTCGTTCAACTTGTATGTGCCACTGAAGCACTCGAGAATATTGTCGAACCGGTTGAGTAGCGGTATCCAGTGGTAGAGGTCGCCCCGCGGGAACGGCCATCGTGTCGGGAAGGTGGCGATGTGGTCGGGGAGAAGTGGAAGTGGTAATGTGCAAGCCGACTGCACAAAGTCTTTGAGCCAAGGAGACTAGGAACTGATTAGCTCATGCTGCAATATTTTGTTCAAACTTGACTCACAAGTGTCTCCTCATGCTTCGGCTGCATCGTCTTGGTGATTTTCCCCATCTTCAGAAATGGGGCGGCCAAGCCGCGAGGTCAAACGAATGCTCCCCCACCGCTACAACCCGCAATGTGATTCTGGAGACGACAGCTTGTTCCAGTAGAGGAGTGTCCAGTGCTTGGACAGCTCCGAGTGTGGCGTGGGGATTCGTGATGAGCCGACAAGGCTGAGGAGGTGGGAGGGGAGGAAGAATGCCCGCGATCGCGAGTGCAGCCTCGTTCGCTGATCACCTGGAAGGAACAGATGTAGTTGAGCGGTCAAAGGAAATACGGAGTAGGCCGTCAGGGTATCTGAGACGAGAGACCGGGGGGAAATGCACTCCGTTGGAAAATGTATCAACTACCGGTCATGGACTATGTCGTTGCAGAAACGGAGAGTGGTCGAATCGGTGGTCCGGATCGCTCGAGAGCTTGGATCAGACAAGCAAGCTCGAAGCGCTGCAGTGCAAGTGCTGGTCGCGCGAAGAGTTATGAGTCGCCCGACGTATGGACTAGCAGGCAGGGCCAGAAAGCAGATGCGATACGAATGAAAAAAAGAAGACCCTGGTAGCAGCAGGACCAGCTTCGTATGGCAGGATTCTGCCGCGATAGGAGGACGATCAGTGTTGGTTCGGAGGGGAAAGGGTGGTGTTTGGGTTTGGTGGAAAAAGCAGAAAGCTGTAGGCAGGCGCGGACTGTGGCTGTAGGCGCGGTGAGGTAACTTCAGTGGTGCCAGCAGTGGCAGTGGCAGCCCGGTAGACAGATCCGTCGCGATACAGTGGGCCCTTGCGTAATTCCTGACCGATGGATACTCGGTTAGGTCCATCGTCTGACAAACTGCCCGCCTTTTGGCGCCCGTGCAGTGTAGGTGGCATGGTTCAGAACCAACATCAGATGGTGCCAGCTGTCAACAGATCTACCTCTGTCCTTCCATGGTTTTCTCATCCCCACTGAGACGTCTTAACCAGACATGTGGGGGCGTTGTGCTTTGAGGTGGTGCGGTCAACATGGCCATCACAATTCTCCTCAGTCTTCCTCGTGCCGAAGAGGACATGCATTTCATCTGACTTGACAAATCCCCAGTATATTCCGTATTGCACAAGACTATCGACTATTCAAGTTGCGACGATCCAAAAACCTAGGCCCAGAGAAACATAATGTACTAACACCAACATGCCACGGATATGTGACTACCATCCCCAGTCACTCATTGTACCAGAGGGAACATGCCCTTTCTGGCAGGGTTTCGATGAGGGGTAGTACTGTAAAACGCAATCATCTGGAATGTCAAGAGTGACATGGCCCCTCGGGACGTCGGCAACTGGAATAGCAGCACGATTGTGCCTTTCACCACACGAAAATGTCGGGAGCAGCGCGAAATACTCGACTGATTCCTCGGGGTTTGGGGGGGAAGAATCTTTCTTCGAACCGCAGGTACTACAGTTTTTAGCTGCTGTCGATACTCTTTACTACATACTGTTCCGTGAGTACGCGACGCATTCCAGCGTCCCAGCTCACACAATGTCCCTAAATCGATAGTCCGACAGTCTAAATGCGTCCATGTTCAAAAATAATGACCCGCAGCGTATATGCTGTGATGGCCACGTCTGAGAAAGAGAACCGGCCCTGCAGTACACAAGGCATTTGTAAGAATGAACTTAAGGCGTCAGGCAACTGGATTTTACCAGGATGTCCAATTAAGAACTGTGCCCATGGCCGGCCCACCGTTTGTCGACACCAGGACCATACAGACGAGTGTGATTTTTCAGCTTCTTCGGGTGGATATTTGTTCAAGAACTCAGTCAGCTGCTCAGCTATCGTTGGCTTTCTTCAGTTCTCTCACGGATCAAGTAAGGTAAGTAGGCAAGTATACTCTCAAGGTGCTGGTCGGCCTTATCTGGATACCCCGAAGAGGCTTAGCGAGGGGCAGGCTAGCTGCACCCAGGCTACGATAAGACCTGACGTCATTCAGTCACTTTCGCACGACAAGCTGAAGAGCTCGAGTTGAGTATATTGTTTTTTCTAAGGGTATCGATTGTATTTGGCTGTCCTCGTGTAATACTGCCAGGTATACCTGTTTGAGTGGCGTCTGCTTATGATTCTGTGTTCCAAGGACTTCTGTTGCACCTCAAAGTCTCAAAACTCTTGCGAGAGGACTTTCTTCAATCCTGCCATCTCCTTATCGTATCCGTCAATCTTCCTCTGACTCTTGTCGAGCTTGTTTAGCAGATACTCGACACGGGCTCCCGCCTGTGCTGGCTGCTTGGGAAGTGCCCCCAAGAGTGCAAGTTCGTTCTCTACCTTGTCGATCGTCTTCGCTTCGACCTTGGCCATCTCTGTCAACACAGCAAGATCCATCTTAGCCCTCAACACGGGGTCCTCAGCGAGCACTTTGAATGCTGCCTGGTACATGGGCTTGCCGGCTGTGATGGTCTGCGGCCTGCCGTAATGCGTCTTGACAGTGATGAGCTCGGCGTTGGTCAGGCTCTCAAGCGCCAACTCGCCACTCGCTGCCCTCGACGTTTGCGAGGATGCGAACGTATCCGATAACAAGACCTCGTTGTAACGTAGACTTTGCTGTGCAACAAGCGACTTGATGAGGTACCATGCTTGCTCAGTAGACCACTTCCTTTCTTCAGCATCAACCTTGCCGCCGAGCAAGTACATCTTGACAATTTCGGTCGCACTTTGGTTGATGATGTCGTCGACTGCGTGTTTCGGGCTCTGTCCACCTCTGATTCGCCGGGCTAGGAACTCGAGATCAGTAAGGCGACCGCCAAGAAGGTCTATACAGTCGTCGAGTTCTGAGAGGTCGGACCGCGGGGTTTCCTGTTGTTTCTCACTGTCGCTGTCCTTTTTCTTCTCGTTGTCGTCGACCTCCAAACGGCTCGCGACAAATTTCTTGGCCACATCCGGGGAGAGATCACCGAGGGCAACCTGTCTGTACACCCTGTCAGGCATCACCCTCGAGAGCGACTTCGAGTACGACGTGTCGTTTGTGAGGAATATGACATGAGCCACGTTGTTCTGCACAAGCATGGCAGCCCATTGGGCCATCTTCTCGTAGATGATGCTGGACTCTTCGTTCTTGTGCAGGAAGTTGTCAATGACCACAACAGGCCTCTTTTCGGGGTGGGCATCGAGGTACGCGTCGTCTGAAAGGTCGGCATCTTTGTCGTTCTTGTGTCGACTTGCGAGGGAAACGTCTTTGAGTGCTGACGCTGCTGTGTGGAGTATCTTGACAACCTGGGTTTCGAGAGTCTCGGAGAAGCCAGATTTCACTCCAGTCGTGCTCTGTACAGCCAGATCGACTAGACTGCTCATGCTGTTTGCCCATGAGAAGACTGGACGATACCCTACAGCAGTAGCCATGTTCTTGATTGTGCCACCCTCGCCTCTAGCTTCCACAATTGGCTTGCAGTCGATCACCAAGACATTCTTGCGCCCTTCAAGAGTCTGTTGTAACACAAGCTCCTTTTTGCCAGAGCCTCGAGGACCCTGCACAACGATGAATGTGTCGGAGCTTTCCATCAGCCAATTCTGGATTTGTTCGATAAGGTCTCGGCGGTGGTTCCACACGGCGCTAAATCCAGCAGAGTCTGGCTTTTTGTGCCCAAAGGAAAGCAGGTCTGTGGTCTGGGATTTGACCCATCGATATAATCTGCTGTCAGTCAAGCGGAAGGCCCGCTGGATGTGCGCCTTGACAAAGAACTGTCGGATAGGGTCAAAAATTGCAACCGTGACAGCAGTGACCAATCCTAGAACAATTGGAATCACCAATCTTGGGTGGCTAGAGATCCAATTCCAGATGCTGTGTGCTTTCACCTTCTGTTCATACGAGAGACGCAGCTTGGTGCCAGACTTTCCACCGCCGAGTGCTTCGCCTACGAGATATCCGTGCAAGCAGTTCCTGGCCATAATTGCATCCCTGATAAGTGCAAAGTCGAGGTAGGCGAACTTGGGCAAAACTTTCGAGTCGTTGGGTTGTGAGGTGATTTCGGCAATTTTGCCATATTTCCGGAACAGACTGTATAGTTCTTCTTGCGACAGCTCAACCGCTTCACCTCCAGGGTCCTTGGGTGTGAATTCAACCTTGAGTCTTGACTTCGGGAAGCGGTAGAGATCCTCTAACCAAGGCGCACCTTTGACGAGGCCCGACTTGACGCCACGAAATGGATTGAACCAGGGCTTGATGGGCGTTGCCTCGAGTTTCTTCGTCAAAGAATCTATGGACTGTCAGTCATAAGCCTGAATTGACAAGCTAGAGCCTATTCTACCTTCGAGTTCCTGCGCAGAGACTTCCGGTCCATGGCTGACTTTGACGAAAACACCGCCATCTTTCAACCGAGGGAGGATCTCCGTGACCTTCATGGGTATGTCTTGAGGAATGGCCTTCTTGACGAGATTGATGGGGTCAAGCAGACCCAAGCTTGACTGTCAAGCGCTTGAGAGATCGGCGATATCCTCATCGCTTCTGCCATGGTCGTCGGAAAAGGAAGCTAAGCTT